GTGGGTGTTGCCTTCTGACACACTTCAGGTGATGTCAGGGGTTTGTGGCATATGCAAATGAGTTATACTAATGAGTTATGCTAATGAGCTCCTGCACCTCTTTTTCTACGAAATGACCCCTGAGAAAAGTGTTTCCTAAGATCCAGCTGTTACCCTCCCGCCCTTAATTTCAACCCATTCTTGCGAGTCCTCTCCTCTGCTGCCAACCAGAACAGCTTTCTGCCCTCCTATAAGTGACAGCCCTTCAAATACTTCATCAGAGCAATCCTTCCACCTCCTCTTCTCCAGACTGAACATCCCCAAGTCCCTCAGCCTTTCCTCCTAGGGCTTGGTCTCCAGGCCCCCAATCCTCCTCGTCGCTCTCCTCTGCACCCGCTCCATTCTGTCCCCATCCTTTTTGAGGTAAGGCCTCCGGGACTGCACACAATACTCCAGGTGCAGCCTGACCAATGCAGTGCATTTGGATGTGATGCCTCTGTCGATACACCCCAAGATTGCATTGGCCTTTGTCATTGCCGCCCCCTGGCTGCTCATATTTAACTTTCGGTCCACCCGTACCCCAAGATCTTGTTCACACACACTACTCAGAAATGTATCCCCCCCAATCCAGAGCAACCAGGTAAGTAACAGGGGTTGCCAATCTCCAGGTGGGGCCGGGAGATTCCACGGCATTACAACTGATCTCCCAGCTCCAGGTTGGGGGATTCCTGGAGATTTGGGGTGGAGGCCGGGATGGCCCCTCAGTGGGGTACAACGCCATAGAGTCCATCCTCCAAAGCAGCCATTTTCTCTGGGGGAACCGACTTCTGTAGCTTGGAGAACAGAGAATCGTATTGGGGAACTCATGGGCACCCTGTTGGGGAACTCCGAGCTAGAGACTTGCTAGAACAGGGAATTAATTCAGAGGGCCTAGCAGGATACCGGTGGTCCTTTTTGTAGAAAAAGCCCAGCAGGAACTCATTAGCATAATAGGCCACACCCAACAACAGAAATTCATTAGCCTATTAGGCCACTGACAGCACAGCTCATTAGCACATTAGGACGCACCCCCATGTTACCAGAAGTGTGGTCATCCAGCCACACCCACCTTTTGCTTCTTATTCTGTTAACCTTGTTTGTTGTCAAAACCCAGGGCCTTTTTTTTTAGCAGGAACTCCTTTGCATGTTAGGCCACACACCCCCTAATGTAGCCCATCCGAATGAGTTCCTGCTGTTGGGTGTGGCCTATTATGCTAATGAGTTCCTGCTGGGTGTGGCCAACTCGGGAGCCAGCCGGAACTTCGTTCCTGTGTGTTCCTGCCCAAAAATAGCCCTGCCGGTGGACATTCAGTGGGATGTGAGGAGCCCCACGGCCAGTTTCTTCTCACCTCACACTTAAAGGGCTTCTCTCCCGAGTGCTGCAGAGAATGAACCTTCAAGGACATGCTGCGCTTGAAAGACTTCCCACAGGTCTCGCAGGTGAAGGGCATGTCCTTGGTGTGAGCTGGAAAAACAACAAGGAGAAGAAAAGCGGACATTAGGCAACGTTCAGACCCAGAAAGGGTGCTAAGGGAAACCGTTGACGCAACCGGCTTCCGGCGGCTCTGGCTGGACTGGGACCACTCCGGCTGCTGCTGAGGGCAAGCGCACCTTTGAAAGTGTGCCCCCCACATGTGCATGGAACACTAGAAAGAAGCACATCTGGAGGAGAGTTCTATGTGGGGGCGTTTGTGTCTTTCTCCAGACAGAGAGCAAACCAAGCATGTGATCCCCACCGAAAGTCACAGATGGGGTGCACATGTGTTAAGTGTGGTCTAGTCATGTCCAACTTATGGTGACCCTATGAATTAATGGCCTTCAAAACATCCTGTCGTTCACAGCCTTGTTCCAGTCTTGGAGACTGAGCGCCTTTATGGCTTCCCTGATGGAGTCAATTTGGTGTAGTGGCTAAGTGCGCGGACTCTAATCTGGGGGAACTGGGTTTGAT